GTGTGCAAATGTTTGCATGCAGATTTGCTGTTAAACTTCCTTGACCGCAATAATCGTGTTGCAAAACAAAAAAGTAAAGAAAAGAAGAAAAATGATCAATAAAGTTTCATATCAGCACTGCGTAGTAAGCGCAAATTTTCGTCATTCTCACCGCGTTATCACGTGCATATTCTAAAGATAGGAAAAAATTCGAAATCAATTTGCAATTGAGGTACTTTTATTTTGTTCTTCTTCCTTTACTTATTCTCCTTAGATCAACAGTCAGTTTTACACTTGCAGCTGCTCTATACGAGTATTATTTACTTTTCTACTTTTGCAATCATATTCTCGTTTAATGGTCTATTCTAAGTGCAATGAACTGGTAAATACAGCAGACAAATATATAATTTTGCTTAAATGGAAATACCAAATATTTTTAAATTGTGGTTAGATGATTTCGTGGCTTTTAGTTGTTTCTCCCCGATTCACACTTTCTCTGTTATTGCTCTATCACAAATCCGACATAGAACTCTTGGAAGCGATGATGTACCAAACCTCGAATGTCTCATCTACAAAAAGCATAATGGAGACAAGTAGTTTCATTGGGGGCACCAAATGGTTTGAACACAACGATGAAACGTGATAACGTGATAATTGAGGCCAAAGGGGTTGCACTCCTACTTACCTACCAAACTAGTCCCTCAGGTTTGGAGATATCGATCTGAAATTAACAAAATTAATTATATATTTTAAATTTTAAATACGCCCTACAGCTCTGAACGTTCTCCTATAGTCTTATTTTACTTTTGCTGATAAACACGCCCTTTCAAGTTCCGATTATTGAGTTTATTGTCGTTTGCAACGGTATACTTGTATAACTTGCAGAAGTATTATTTAAGGGAAAAAGTGTCTTGGCCTGCAATGAAAGAAGAGCTTTTTGTATACAAATTTTGTCTTCAACATCTATAGTAATGCATTTGCTGTAGCAGTTTACGTTATTGTCTAAGTCAAAGATACACATTTTTTGTTTTCGGCACAATCACTCGCCAATGTTCACGTATTATGTATGTTTTTAATTAACCTTCCTCACCGATCCTCACCGCGTACATTTATTTTTATCCCAAACAAATTCTAATTTAGTAACCAAAGTTTAATGACACTCAAAATCAAATTAGTTGGAATTATAATTTCGGTTATAAACTCGAACCATGCAGGGAAGTTATTAATATTTTCCTACCTGTATATACACATTTAATATATGCACGTTTTCTGCCAAATTCAAAAATTCCATGCTTATCTACTTCATTAGACCGCCACAAATAAACAATGATATTGCCTGGTTCACTTAATTGTTTTTACTTTGTTAACTTTAGCATGTTTTATTAGTATTACTATACAGTAAAACCCGCTTAAATAACCAACATTTTTGGGCTTAATACTCGCATCGAAGGACTTAAGCGAACTCTTTTAAGTACCTCAAAAAGCAGTGATTTTTACTTAGGCATTTAAGCGGGTTTTACTGTATAATATTGTTTGTCTTGATTGCTGTTGTCCTAAATTTGTTTTCGTATTTATTTTTTATTATATTCTGCACAGGGTTTATTAAGTTTGCCACTATGTTTGTAACACTCAGAAGGAAACGTCGATATAGTATATAAATGATCAGCGTGACGAGCTGAGTCAACTTAGCCATGTTGGTCTGTTTGTCTGTATATACACGAACTAGTCTCTCAATTTTTAAGATATCGCTCTGAAATTCGGCACATATGCTTTTCCACCATATGCTTTTATTACCACCTGTAAAGGTACCATACAAAGTGACCGATCAAAAGCAAGTTCTTGTCACTTGGAAAACGTTTTTTGTGACAATATATCTTCACGAAATTTGGCATGTATTTTTGTCTAAGACAACATTACAATATTCGAAGTAATTTTCCAGATCGGACAAATATAGGATATAGTCTTACAACTGAACGTTAAAAACTGAGTTCGTGTATAAAAGACTTTTTTATTTGACAATAAATCTTCACTAAATTCTACAAAGATATTGCCCAAGGCAATGCTACAATATCCGCAGCAGATTTCCGGATCGGACTACTATATGATATAACTGCCATACAATCGTATGGAAACTCCTTTACTTGTGAAGGGTATTCTGTCTTCGATGCAATCCGCTTCTTTAGCTGCGTGTGTATGGGTGTGTAAGTAATTTGGTGAATTTTGCCTTGTGGCGAGTGCCAGTAAATCCCCAATGCAATGACAAATTAGAATTAATCGATACTCACCCACTTGGCCGCCTATCGGTAACGAGTAATTTAATTTTTATTACTGTTGTTGTTTTCCCCCTATTATTGCCTGTAGTTGGTGTGCGCAATGGTAGCACTCTGTTCAAGGTCATTGCTAAAGAGGTGTTTGTTGTTAGGCAAGTCATTTGGTTTCTCCACTTTTTCGCCTTACACACATACACACATATATAAGCTTATAAAAGGCCTATACATATATGTACATATAAATATGTTGTATATAGTAGCATGTAATAAAAATTTTTGTTTCTTTTTCCCCCAGTGACCTTCAGTCCTTTACTTAAGCTTGTTTTTTTCTAGATTTTTTGTTTTTGTGTTTCTTTTTGTTTTCTTTCGTTCTACTTTATCCAATGTTGTGTGTCTTTTCCCTGCCCTAGGGCAGTATTTTATTTATTAATTCTAGCCGACTCGTTTGTTTTGGTTGGTCTTGGCTTCAACAATTATATGTCAACAGTATTTTCTTTTGTATTTATTTATTTTATTCTATTATTCCATTTTCCCGTGTTCTTATCCAACCTATTTTCGATAATGTAATATTCAACATGTGATTTTATGGCTTTCTTAAACGTGTTATGGCAGAGGAAGTAGTCAAATTAACAATAATATGTGAAAGGTTCTTCTCTTTTTTTGAATATCTTGGAAAAAGTGTTTCAATTGAGCAATATATATAAGCTTTTAGAATATGGAATACCAAAATTAAATGTACGTATATATGTATATGGTGCGAATATAAATCTGACCGGGTATAAATATGATTTTAACGCCAACCAGTATTGAAATGTCTCTACATTCTTAAAGGTGTTTGTACCCTTTAATAATAAGCCAATTTAATAAATGTCATTTACTAAAATGAATATATAGTAATTAGGTCATAAAAGGTTTTGACTCCATCTAATGAACAGATATAAGAAAAAAATACAATCAATTTACACAAGGCGACTTGAGACCAATTTTCACCGGAAAATCATTGGCCGTAGAGAAGAACAGGTAGTAATCACTTTAATCCAAGTCCAAACTACAAGGTGGATGCATAAGAAACAACTAACCAAGCTCCCGGAGCTTCTGGCTAGTAACTATCGATGTGTGTGGCCTAAGTAAAACACAATTCCTCTCCCATTGGAAAAGGCTGGCCGCTTGCGGGCTATTGCTTCATTCAGACAGTTCAATTGTTGACAATACAGATCCTGATAAAAGTTTGGACATAGCGGATCCGCTCATAGTAGTTGGCTTTCTGTCAATCCCACCAAACGCTTAACGAAACCTTCCTGACCGTTAATCCTGGCTTGGCTCACCGCAATTCGACCACGCGGACGGTTCGCGGGTAGAAATTCGGTCCATGCGGTTTTTTGCGTTAACTCATGTGGCATCAAGCTTCTTTTTGTATCTAACCTTATTAATATGGCACTAAAGGGTTTTTTGTGCGTTGTTTAGATCCCGGGGGATCGAAACAGTGCTTACATAACGTTCGGACTCGACGATTTCCTTTACTTTATCGATATTTTTGATAATTGGCCTCCCAGGGTGTGAATACCCCACTTTGACATCAAAACTACCGGAACAGAATCGACGAAACTAAAATTAGGACTACTACATTGATGTATCAGTGATTTGTATTTGCAGAGATAAAATCTAAATTTTTAAAATTAATTATATCCACTTATAACTGACAAATGAAGTAATATACATTCCCCATTGAAAGTCAAACTTTGCATAATTAAACCTAGTGAACTTGGTCCGAGATTTGAGGTAATCACCATATGTCCAGTGTGAAAGGAGTTGTAAATAATTTTCTAAATCTGTGAGACGAATTGTTAATTTAGCCTAAAAAATTAAATACTCAGTGTTATAAATGACAGAATGATGACATTGTCGATATGAAAATTTTTTTTGATTACTTGACAAGGTACCACGAAATTTGGCTTAGATTATTAGCTAACGCATCTAACTGACCGATCAAAAGCAAGATAAATATTTCTTTTACCCTTTTATGCTACAAAAAGTGCATCTGTGAAGGATAGCTTCGGGGCAATCGAAGTTAAAATTGTTAAAACTATATAAAGGTAATATACAGAATGGCGATCTAGTATGAAAAAAATCATTATCTACGACTTTAAAAAGCGATTTCAGTTGGTTACCCATTTTTTGGTAGAATACTGTTATTTATTTTTAAATATTCAATTATTATAATACTTTTCTTTCACTATATTTTTAAATTATTTCAATTATAAATGTATCTATTACTTTATCTTTATTACTTATATGTTTTTTAATTATCTATATTTATTTTTATTTTTTAATTTATTTTTGAATAGGTTATTATGTTCACAAAATTTCTATATACTTTTCCCCTTTGCTACCAAAAAACCTTGCCCAGAAAACTTTGCCAAAATTTAACTTCCTCATAATTTTGTCAAAAATTAATATTCTTGTAAATTTATTAGTCTATTAATATAATTCTGTCTGTCTATGTGTAATAATAAACAGCGTTTAATAATTTGTGTTTTGAAAATCTGCGAAATGATGCATCCCCAGCAGACTTGTGCACTTCATCACATGCAATTAGGTATTTTTGAATAACAGTACTTTTTGCATCAAAAAAATTACACACACATTAACTCATCTATGTGCAAATTTTGCTCATTTTAATGATTTGTAATATGTTTTTAGCAATTTTATACCGTATTTATTTATTTATTTTTTTTTTGTTTTTACTTGCAGCAGACATTCCTCAGCTCCTCGGATGCGGATGACGAACCTATAAAACAACTGCCAAAGGAAATTCTTTTACGTATTTTCTCCTATTTGGACGTGGTGTCTTTATGCAGATGTGCACAAGTAAGTGGCGAAGAAATTTCGTTATAATTATTTTTTGGCAAATGAAATTTATTTATTTTAATGAAAATAAATATGGAAATAAAATGTTTCTTTCTATTACGTCAGTGTCTAGCGCATCAGGTTTTATATACTTATATATTTACTATTAGTAGATATGTAGTACGACAGTGTATGTATTTTTATATGCCAAATGTATCTAAACAAGTTTTGTTTGGTAAAAATTATAACTTGATTATGGCGCGATCTATAGGCAAAGTAAACGGTCTATATTCCATGTGGTGTTAGATATTGAATCAAATATATTGAAAATTCCGTTTAAATAAAATATAGTCACAATGGCGCCACCTATTGGATTCAATAATCTATATAGCCTATAAAGAATCTTGAAATTAAAATAAATTTCGATTATAAAATATTTCCACAACAGGTCAACTCTCAGTTCCAAAACGCTACTTTTCATGCTAAAACCAATCCTTCAACAACGTCGATCGCTTTCGTGGATTTGCTTAAGGATTTAAAAGGAATTAAAATATTTTTTATTTCAAATCTATGCCAATTTACAAAACTATAGAAAATGCCACATCTAAAAGCGTTCGTTATAATTAGACATCCGGTTTTCAAGAAGAAATAAATCTCATAAGTTTAATGTTATAGCCAAGAACTTAGCTTTATTAGAAATATAAGGGTTTGCTATTATATTTTAAAACTGAGGATGCGCATTATCGACTAGAGTAAACGTAGTGTGAAACCGATCCATGGTTGCTCGAATTACCGACTCTGCTGGGCGATTATGTGGACTGAATATTGGACGCAGCGCGCGTTACACAAATCGCACCATTATTTTGGTAATAAATTTGCAGAATTTGGAAACATTGTTCCGGAGTAAGCCTGTTCAGTATACATCTGTCAAAAGACCAAATTCGAAACAAATATTGCCTCAGTCAAAATCATATGTCTAAAAAAATACCCGTTATAATAGAGCCTTTTGTATCGGCGGCAATCTGCAAGTGGTTAAGTTTGGTGGAAATTTGTATCAATTATTGTCTCTCTATATGACCACGGCCATATTTTCAAATTTCAATATTAGTCCGTTAAGCACCAAGCGATTTTAAGAAGTTCTAATGTCGTTTAGTTGCCTTTGATGATATTAAAAACTAAAAGAACCTTTCATTGAATTCACACCATTTTAAATCCAATTTCTTATGACTTCTTACTTTTAATTAATGCAACATATTTTACACACCCAACTATTTGTCAGTCACTTTTGACACTTCGCACTTAACTTTAGCTTCTCTTCCCTTCGCTCATAGACGCAATTCATTAAGTTCCAACTCGCCTCAACTTGTCTTCTTGTCCAATAAATTATTGGTCTTTTACAAACACACATTATTTCCGGTATTTTGTGCAAAAAAAAGTGGAAAAATGGCAAACAAATTAAACAAATTGAATAACACGAACGCGGGCTCGTTATGCTCTTATAGGCTTTTGTTATTTTACGTACCTGCGTGGAATACTTTACTATGAAATTTCTCGTGCTCTTCGCTGCGAAATTAACAGTCGAATCACGTTTGTGCGATTTTTGAATTATTTGTTTTCAACACATTTGTTTTTTGCAAAGGCACTTACTGAATTGCTTATGGGTTATCAGTTGTGGGGATTATAAATTATAATTATATTTGTTTGTATATATTACTCAGTTTTTTTTTTATCTACTTTTGGCAATTATTGGTTGCTCTCACGTTTTTTCATATTCGAAGTAGCCGTTTCATTTGATTCATTCATTTTTGAATATTTGACACCTTACGTTTTTTATATTTTTTGTTTGTTTATTATCATAAATATTAGCAAAAACTTAGAATACAAAGAAGATAAAATCAAAGAGTGTTGTTTTAATTTTAAATAACTTCTTTATATTTCTAAGATCCGGAACTATTACTGAATTTTTAAGACATTCTTTATTTGTCATCCTGCTTAAGAAATGTATTTCTTCGTTTACCCAGCTTCACGCATTTCCTGCTTGCTTCGGGCATTATATCATTTTCTATTCAACATAAGCAGGGATCGCAACTCCGATCGACACGCTTTCAACGATTACCTTGCTTGCTATTTAGCAATCCAAACAGGGTTATACATTTTTTATACCAAACCATTGTTCAATTATAAAGTGTGTTTTGAGGTTAAGTCTAACTACAAAACATATGCCTTAATTTTAGTGATACCCACTCATAGAAAAGTTCTAGTAAAAAAAATCGATTATTTTTCCAATAAATAGAAAGTTAGAAAGGTAAGATTTTGTTCTTAAAAAACTCTCCGACATTTTTATGATTGCTGGACTTAGTATTTTTTGAGCACGTGTTCAAAATGAACACCAGCAAAGAGAAAAAACGCCATACTATTTTAAATTTTTTCTGCGATAAAGACGGAATCAAAAGCCAGGTAGCTGAAGATATCAGTAGTCTTTATGCAAAAAACCTCATGTAGCGACTTTCTGCGAAATATCTGCGGAATCGCAACTTTTTTCATCTATTTTTGAAAGAAATAGTGAATGATGATGAAAAGTCCGTTACTTACGACAACGTCAAACGAAAACTGTCGTGGCCGAATCGCGGTGAGCCGTCACAAACTGTGGCCAAGCCATAATTGACTGACAGGGAGGGTTTGCTGTGTGTTTGGTGGAATTGGCAGGGAATCATCTACTATGAACTGCTCCCTTATGACCGAACTCTTAATTCGGGGCTTTGTTGTCAATAATTGGACCGTTTGAAGGAAGCAATCGCTCTAAAAGTAAACAACTTTGGCCAATAAGAGTCAAATTATATTCCATCAGAACAACATCAGGTCACAGATATCGAAAGTGACTCGCAAGAAGCTCCGGGAGCTTGGTTGATATTTTTATGCATCCACCATATAGTTTGGACCTCGGTTTAAGTGATTACTACTTGTTTCTGTCTATGGCAAATGATTTTGCTGGTAAAAAATTCGCCTCAAGAGAAGCTTGTGAAGATCGACTGTCCTAGTTTTTTGCTAATAGGGTCAAGGGTTCGTATAAGAGTCGCATAATGAAATTCCCTTCAAAATGCTAACACGTTATCGAACAAAACGGTGCATATTTCTCCTAAATCAGATAATTGTAACCATGCTAAAAAAAACTTTTAATTTAGTGCAAAAAAAATGGATTCTTATTAGACATTTTTGACTTCGGAAAATATTTTCGTAAACATGAGGTAGTACTTGTATATATGGAAACGCACGTCTTAATTATATGTAATAATGAAGTAATTTCGAATTACTCGGTCGAAAATTATAGTTTTTGGATCTCCCAGAAGATGACCAAAATATTCAACAGTCTATGAAAAGTATATATAAAAAACGATATTTGAAGGCATATAGTTTAAAGATCTAATCTCCTATTGAGGATAATATCTGTCAGAGAACGCAGGTGCTTGTCTGCGCTAAGGCTAAGGTTGATGTCATAGCTCTTTAAGGAATGGGGTAAGCAAAGTAATCTGAAATAACAATTCAATTTAACTACCAGATTTGTAAAGGTTCGTAATGCTGAAACAGAGTTTATCTATATATATTATAGTTCACCGCTCTGGAAAAATATTATGATATAAATCGCACCTAAGTGAGATATTTTTTCACACTTTTGTTGCTTCATTCCATTAGTACAGAATGCTGAGCCTTCTTATCGTCATCCCCAATCACTGTCTAGCAAGTATTGATCATTATACTTGATTCCACTCGGTTTATAGCACGATCACGTTGCAACTGATGGACGAAATGTCTACCTTACTTTAGATATGATGTATAGATAATACAACAACATATGTCATGTGTCTACCCTGACGCTTGAAATGTGTTTGCTGTTTCCGCCTTTGCCGACCGATTTTGAACCATTTTCGGAAAGGACTTTGTACCGTGTTAGTTATTAAAATTACAACAACACTACGAAAAATATATTTAAAAATATTTCAGCCATAATCTATAACGTCAGGGTTTATCACTTTCCGTCATCATTGAACGTTTTGCTGTCGTCAAGCATTACAAATACAATGCATTATTGCATTCTTTCAGCTGCTTCCCATTACTGCGCCTAGGCGACGCAAATGCATATTAATGAGCGGCATTATTTGTGTTGCTATGGTGGGGTATATACATATGTTTTTGTATGTTTGTATTTTTATATACATGTGTGTATGTAGGTGGTTGCTAGCTTTCCGTTTATTAAATAATAATTACATGCGGCTCAGGTTTACGCAAATGAGTGACAAGCAGCTACTAGTTGCACTACAAACACACATACATACATACATATACATGCATATACTGCAAACTTATACATATACTATATGTATACTAAATATCTGCAAACCTACTGGCCTACAGCCCTCTGTATTGCTGTGAATTATTTCAACAAGCTTGTTCTCATGACATACCACTCGATTATAAGCGCGGGCATGCCTTCTATTTTCGTAAACATACATATGTACATGTTTACATACATATTTACATATGTACATACATGTATGATAATGCATTTGCTTGTGCAATTTTACATATTTTACATATTTCCTTTATTATTTTTCTTTGTTTTTTTTTTTTTTTTAATTTTTTTCTTGCTCGCATTCTCATGTTCGCTTACAAGGTCAGTTTCTGTTAAAGTTTTCACTTGGCTCGGATTTTATATATGTACTTTCATACATACATATGTCGGTATAAACAGTTGTCAATATGTATATATCGTAGTATTAGCCGCATATCACATGCAAAAATAGCAACGAGTATGCCCATAATACACGCTAATTATGCGATTTAATAGTGGATTGAAAGCGCAGCGCACACCTTCACATACATCCACACATCCATATATACGTTCATAAATATATACATCCATACATAATTCATAAATGTATTCATAAATACTTATAAGTAAAGAAAGGCAGCATTTCTTATTAAGTGAAAAAGCAATATCTGCATAATTCATTGTGTCGCTTGTA